GCCCGCCGTGGAGGCTGCAACTGCTGCGCGTAACGCTGGAGTCTGGTGCTGGTGACACCGGAGCCGGGAAACACTCGTGCTGGTAACGCCGGAGCCCCGTGTCCGTGACAGACGCGCTAGTGCTGGAGCCGGTAATGCTGGTGCTCATAACATCTGTGCCCGTGGCACCGGTATTGGTAACGTGGGAGCCCTGTGCCCGTGGCGCTGCCACCAGAGCCAGTGGAGCCCCGGTGACACGGGAGCCACGGCGTGGCCGGGCTGCACTAGCCCCGGGTGCCTCTCCTGCCACCCCGGCAGCAGCGCGGCGGGGGCAGCCCTGCTCCCCTCCCTGGAGTGGCTGCAAGTCACCGCTGTGGCAGCAGTCGGTGCCCTGCAAGGCGCTCACAGGGCCTCTGCCTTCCAGCTACGACATGGTGCACTACGGCCACTCGAACCAGCTGCGCCAGGCTCGGGCCATGGGGGATTACCTCATCGTTGGAGTCCACACGGACGGTAAGAGATTTTCTCAACCTTCTGCCCCGTGCTGCCTCTGCCATCGCCAGCAACCTTAGCCCAAGGCAGCGGTGATCCGGGCATGGGGCAAATTCCTCCTGCCTATCAGGAGCAGCTGCTGCCAAAGAAAAGTGCATCTTGCCAGGGTCAGGCAGTGGGGTGGTTCTCCTTGCGCTTCCTCGGTGCTGGATAGATCGGGCAGAGCAGTGAGGTGCTGCATTATAAACATGCAATCAGTTAAAAATCTGTCCTGTTACCTGGTGCCAACCTCAGAATCAATATCTCAGATCAAAGGTCTGTGCGGAGAAAAGCTGTTTTAATCCCATGTGAAAATGTGCATACTGGGAATTTGTTCTTGCATATGAAGATGGATTTCAAATGGATTTTTATTACTGGTGCCTACTTGCTAACATAAATCAAGTGTAGCATGAAGATACTGATAAAAAGGGAATTTACTTCTTGGGGATCACCAGAAAGCCCAGGTGATCTTGTCACTAAGGCACATCTGGTTTCAAGGAGTCACCGTCGTCTTTGTCCTTAGAGTTAGTTCCAGGGGTTTTGTCACACATTTATGAAATGTGACTGAACTAAAACCTGCTCTGATCCAACTTGGGCTTCTGTCTCTGCTCCTAAGCAGTTTGAAGCTGTGCTTGGGCCCGCAGAGAAGCACACCTGCCTGTGAACTCCGTAAGGCTCCTGTGGGTGGAAATGCTTGTAGCTGTAGCGTGGGTTTCTAAGGGAGATTTTCTGTTTCTCACCTAGAGGAGATTGCCAAGCACAAGGGCCCTCCCGTCTTTACGCAGGAGGAGAGATACAAAATGGTGCAAGCCATCAAGTGGGTGGATGAGATTGCTCCAGGGGCTCCCTATGTCACCACGCTGGAAACCTTGGATAAATATAACTGCGACTTCTGTGTGCATGGTGGTGAGTAGTGTTCCAGGGCAGTACTGGTATGAGCGCAGCCCCTCAGGGCTTGCATGTCCTTACTTTTCTTGCTGCACACCAAGGAACATGCTGGCTAGCACTGATGATCAGAAAATACCTCATCTGGGCAGACTTCAGTGATGCCAGCACCTGTGCTGGTCGGAAGGTTTACTTGTGATTAAGATCTAATGGCATAGGCTAGAATTAGCTTCTTTTCAGGTTCTAACAACTAGCAGTTGAAATCCTAGTCTTTTCTTGATTTCCTTTTACTCTGTTTAAGAGCTTTCACCAATATTGCTTTCTGTATTTTTGCATCTCCTCACTTAAACTCTCTTACAACATAGGAACTGTTCCTTTCTGCACTGGGTCACAGTCATCTCTTCAAACAGCATTTTATTTACCCATGATTTGGGTAATTATCAAATCAACTATAGCAGTTTCTACTCAACTGCTGTAATATACTTGCTTTAAATTTATTAATACTGTTAAATAAAAATACTGTTATAACTGTTAAAATATTGAAAATACTGTTACAGAATTCTTAAAACTAAAGAGAAATGTGTTCATACGATTGTATCTAATGACAGGAAAAAAAACGTTGACAAAAGAGCCTTTCTATCTAAAGTACTGGAAGCAGTCTCGAAAAAAGAAGTGAGTTTTCTGTTTGCTTGTTTGTTTAATCTTCAGGGTTTTTTTTTTTTTTTTTTTTTTTTTTTTTTTTTTAGTGTATTGGAACTTTATTCTTTAATACGATTCCTGTAACTTGCTCTTATACTTTCTGCTTTTGTATGGAATTAATGCTTGGAGTCTGGTTGCCAGTGATTGAGACCAAACATGATGATAATTATCCGCACTGAAAGTGCGTTTCGGGTAGCTGACCCCTTACCAGTCTCAGAGAGATTGTCACAAGAGCAGCTTTAGTGGCCTTTGCTCCAGTTTTCCTGCATTTATTCCCTCTGCCAAAACATTAAGTACTTCTACGTGGAACGTACTCCTGGATGCTGCAGCTTTGCCAGGCCATGTTTGTGCAAAGAAAAGTTTTGAAATAGCCTAGCTTAACTGAGAAGATGAGAGATAGTAAAACCAGTGCTTCTGCCTCTTTCTTGGCACACAGAGTGCTTGCAATATGTTGTCCCCACCTCCCTTCACTGTGTACCATGAAGTCAAGGTGTGCTGTTTTAGAGGAACTTAACGGCTCTTCTGAGCATGCCGCAGCAATTATGTAAGAGCGAGTACTGGTGAGTTACCAGTTGCCTTCACTGTACACTGGGAGTTTTGCCAGATGAAATCCTACTTAGGTTTTCCCCTGTGAATATTTGAAACTATTGCTAAACTCAGGTGAGAGGTGTTTTTGTAGGATGAGTTGGAAACCATGCCTAAGTAAGAACCAGAATTAACTTTTAGCGCTTGGATAGTCTTAGGGTGAAACAAAGCCTGCTCTGTTTAGCTTATTAGAAACTTCAAAAGGTCTACCAGTGTCATTATTGAAGTGGGAATGGAAGGGTTGTTGTTTAACTAATTGGGAAAGTTGTAACATGAACTAAAGGCTGAAACCAGGGCTAGAAAAAAAAATAAGGTTACTTTTCAACACTGAGGTTAATGGGAGCTGTTTATTGTCGTTCAGACAATGCTTCAGTCGTGTCTGCTCTTGGACTTGGTGCAGAGGCAACTGGATCGGATTTTCTGGTTTATCTAAAAGAGAGTGGGCTAGATAGGCTAATCCCAGGAATATGCTTTTCTCCACAATTAGGGAAGTTGTGCAAACTCTTGACACTTTGGTGGGACGCAAATGTTGGCTGAGATTCAGATTGCAGGAGTTTTTGTCTGACTGGTGTGGTATAGGCACACTCAGCTATCGCTGTATTTCCAAGATGCAGGAAGGTGTGTGGATGTGATTCTGAGGCTCTTCTCTCTCTGTAGATGATATCACACTAACGATAGATGGCAAGGATACCTACGAAGAAGTGAAGGCAGCTGGACGATACAGGTAACCCATTTTAATTTCTTATCCTGTTTTGTGCAGAGTTTCTGGGAGTTCCTACCCTGAAGGGACTTCAGATGAAGCCTGGCTATCTTCAGGTCACACATTCATTTGCTGTGATGTGTCAGAGCTGTCACTGTCACGGCTGTGGCTTCTAGGAAGTGTTGCAGGCTAGCAACTGACTGGCAGGGCCTTTCTGTCCCTGGCATATGGCAGTTCTTGTCTTGAAGCCTCCTTGGGAGTTAGCTCTTCAGGGAAGGCTCTACAAGCTTCTGCAGGGCAAATAAAGATTCAGAGACTCAGGAAACAAATATTATTCTACATGGAGAGCTGATAGTGGGAAGAGTTTTTTCTCAGGCTGTTCCCTAGTTTGGATTTAGCAGATTTCTCAGGTGTTCCTGTGGTAGTGGGGGTAAGAAAAAGCTGTATGCTCCTGTAGCTGCTGCTTTATCCTCTGCTTGTTTCCCTGCAGGGAATGCAAACGCACCCAGGGTGTGTCCACGACTGACCTGGTTGGCCGCATGCTGCTCATGACTAAGGCACACCACAGCAACATAGTGAGTCAGGGGACCGTGGGTGGTGGAAGTTTGGAGCCTAGGACATAATCCAGCTCTTGGAGCCCAGGACATAATCCAACTCTTGCCCTTTGCTGTTCCAAATGGCAGCGGAGCACTTAGGTCTGGGTGCTCTGTGCGTGGAGAACTGGCAAGCTGACTGTGGGCAGATTGGTAGAAGAATCTTTTGTTTGTATTTGCTTAAACCTGTGTAGATCCCATGCTGCCTTGGAGAGAGTGGGGAAATAAAAGCTTTGATCTCTGATAGTTGGTGTGAGCTTTGGGAATGTTATGGGAAATATGGGCTAGCCTGCAGTTGTCAGATTGAAAGTACTTAGTGCAGCCACATTGATCTAGTCTGCTGTCAGTACCAGTCCTACCACTGAGCTGCATTTTTTGCTTACTGCTGTCTCTGAATCTCATCAGACCCTTCTTGAGGCTGCTCAGTTAACTGCACAGTAGAAAACTAACCTCACCAAAGGAAAAAGTAAAGTGTTTTTCTGCAGGATTAATGAGTTGAATCGACTTGGTACATAATCCAGCGTCCTGTGAACATGAAGGAATGGGATTGAAACACCTCGGTAATAGTGGAACAAGATGAGGGAGAAAAGGGAATCCAGGGGGTGAAGCAGATCCTTCTTCTGGTGTGCTGAGCTGTTAGGCTGGCTTAGTTTTAGTAGGTAAATTCACACCAAGAGGTGACAAAGTACCACAAGCTGCGGAGAGATCCGAGCCCGTCCCCAGTGGCGTGTCCTTGGGGGAGGCAGGGACATTGCCCTATGCAGTTGCAGAGGAGGCAGGTGCACAACACGCAGCTCTGCAGATTGTGCAAGAACCACTGTCACTGTATGGTGCCAGACTGGGATCAAATGAGGGCAGGTTCTATCTGACTGATGCTGGGACATGACTGCAGTTTAGATATTAACTAGTTTATCAGCATTTAGTATCAAGTATCAGTGCTGTCCAGCCTGAGCAGGGACTAACACACAAACATTGATTGAGCTGATTGAGCTATGTGAATGCTTAAAACATTTGCCTTCTTTACTCTTTCTGCAGGATGAGGACCTAGACTATCGGAAACACACTGACAACTTTGGGAAGGTAATTTTGTGAGTGCTGGGCTTGAATGTCTGGCTGTTTCCCTCCTGGCCTGATAAAGATTATAAATGTGCTTTAGGGCCTGTGTTGTACTCCTGGCTTTTTCACCTTTAGTAGCCTACTCGATAAATCTCTGCCACTCCTGTGGAGCTGCTACTGCAGTCAGTGCAATAGGCAGGTGGGGCTGTGCCAGGCCAACATGCTGGTGCAGTGGCCTCCGTTTTAGTGGCACCACTGCCCTGCTGTAACCACTGGGCCTTGGGGGTTGTTGGCTTTTTTTTTTTTTTTCCCCTCTCTCACCCCCTCTTACGTTTCCCTTGGGATCCAGCCCCTCTAAAGAGCTATCGGACTCTTCCTGGGTGTGGGATCGTCCCCGATGAACAAGACCCTGGACCTGCAGCCTGAGCAAGCTCCTCGCTCGCTGGGGTTTCCTGCTGCGGCAGGCCAGGCTGAAGGCCCCTCTCCGGTGTGCTGCGTGTTGGGCTCCCCGCAGCGGGCTCCGGGCCGCGGCCGTGGCCGTTCTCGGGCGCGCG